ATTATATTATTTATCTCTAAAATTTAATTTATTAGTTGATATTTTTAACTTTACTTAACATTTAACACATTACTTAACATAATTATATTATTCACTCTTTATTTAAATGATTTAAATATCTAATTTAGCTAAAAAAATAATGTGGACATCCTTTTGGGTTACAAAAGTACTTCACATATAATTATAAAATATTTTAGAGATTGGCCTTCCAAATAAAGAAAAGTGGCCTGAAATTTTGAGGAATATTTATTTGCTCTCATTATTTGAATGCAATTTGCTTCTAGTGAATTCAATGAGTCTAAAAGTTTTGTGTTATTTGCAGGATGTTTTTATGAACATCTAAAAGTTCATGCTGGTAGTTCCGATGGAATGGGTGCAACTGCCGGTCAATGAATAAGGGCCTAGTCCACTAGAAAATTTCAGCCAAGTGGTTCTTATTGCTAAAATTCACTTTCAGCAACAAGAACCATGTTGCTGAAAGTGAAGAATACTTTTTGGGGGGAAAGTGTACTATTTAAGTATCAGCAACGTGGGTCTTGTTGGTAAAAATCCCTATCACTGACATGCTCCCATGTTGCTAATTAATTTATGGACTTGATGCAGTACCCGGTTATGAACAGTAACCAGAAAATTTCAGCAACGTGGACCTTATTGGTGAAAATCCATATCACCAACATGCTCCCATGTTGCTAATTAATTTATGGAATTGGTGCAGCATCCGGTCATGAACAGTAGCCAAAAAAATTTCAGCAACATGGTTCTTGTTGCTGAAAATCATTTTCAGCAACAAGAACCATGTTGCTAAAAGTAAAGAACACTTTTTATGGAATTGGTGTAGCATCCAGACATGAATAGTAGCCAAAAAATTTCAGCAACATAGTTCTTGTTGCTGAAAATCATTTTCAGCAACAAGAACCATGTTGCTAAAAGTAAAGAACACTTTTTGCTAAAAGATATACTATTTAAATATCAGCAATATGGGCTTTGTCGGTAAAAATTCATATCACCGACAAGCATTTTCATATTGCTGATGCTTAGTTGCTGAAAACAAGAATTTTAGTAGTGGATTAATTATTATTGTTTATATGATAATAATATTAAAATAAAAATTAATTTTTTATATAAATTAATTATATAAAAATATATTTATTATATCTTAACATATATTCTTAAAATAGAAGGTAAACAAATCCTTAAATTTTTTTAAACCTTTCAATTCACTTGCACAGTGCCACTTCCTTTCTCTCTCACATTCTTCATCAACTACTTGGCTTCACACGTTGCAAGATCTGGTATTGCCCAGAAAAATGCTTCTCTATTGCTAACATCCAAGCCCATCATCATTCCTGAGATCTATTGTTCTCTTGCTCTTTCTACATATTTCACAGGAGCTTCGCACTGTTGCTGCCGGACTTTGTTTCCTCTTTTATCCACGATCGTTGTACTAATTAATTTGTTACCCGTCGCGCTTTATCGTTGCCAAGGCTGCTAGTGAAGGGCTCACTCATTGTTGACAACTACTTTGCTCGCAGATTTCCATTACACTAAACTGATTTGTTATCGGGAACTACAGTGCGGTTGCTGGTTGCTAGAATTGGTGGAAACAAAGTCGGTTTCGGTTGTAACCGAAACGGACCGATACCCAATGAGAGACTTGAAAATATTCCGATATCTGCCAAAATTTTGCTTCCTCGTCTCAAAATTCAAACATCATATATGTTCAGTTTTTGTATGAAGATGTAATCTAAGTTGTATTCACTCGTAAGTAAAATACATTTTATAAATCGGGCTTATGATTTAAATTTTAAAATTAATATTTAAACAATTTAATTTTTTTAAATACATCATACTAATATATATAAGAAGCATGTCCTTAATATCACTTAAGGAAAATATAATTTCAAAATATATGAAACCTGACTAAAAGGCATGTGATTGTAAATAATAAAATAAATATGTACATAGACTTGTAGAATTGCATTTTAATTATCAAAATTCTTTTAATAAAATTTTTAACTATATTATTTCATTATGAATGTTTGAGAGGTTTCTAAAAGAATTGTTGTCACCAAAAAATGGCAGGCAGGATTCTCGACTGAAGGTTGCACTAAGGTAGACGCCGGAAACCTACAAAACAGGAAAGCGTTAGAGCTTTGCTGGAGATCAGAGTTGCTCTCCAACTTGGCACTCCGACGGTCAATATAAGATATGGATCCATGGAGAGAAAACTGTTTCTTCTGTGTGTGAATGAAGAGCTCAAGGAAGGAGTGAGTCTGGGAGAAGACATGAGTGTGTGTGATGAGAGAAAATGAGTGGAGAGGGCACCTATTCATCCAATCAGAGTATGCTACCTGTCCATTCCAGAGTATTTTCCAAGCTAATCAATTACTTGAAATATTCCTTAAGAATCCTGGGTTTGAGCCAGGTCCTCATGAGCTGAGCCCACTAATCTCATACAGATTACACTTTTTAGTATAACACTTATGGTTATCGTAAGGGTTCAAGGGTTAAGGGCTGTCCTGAAAAGGCTGAGGGTGGAAGGGGCAAGGGCTTCCTTGATAAGGGGGGGAGTTGAAGGGGTATGGGCTGCCAGGATAATAATTCCCCATAAGCATCAAGGCTAGATATTAAGGATGTGTTTCGGTTTACAGCATGCACAAGAGAATGCATATATATATATATAGATCCAGGGTGATGAACTGATGATTGTTTTCATTTATTTTCAATTCAACAAAAACGGGTTCCAAGTTCTGTTTAATCCTTCACTCTTTTTTCCTTTTTTTCCTTTTTTTTTTTTTTTAAATCTTAGCCATACAATAAAAGTGTATTCGCCCATTAAGATCTTAAATTATGCATGATGGGTTCTGCCTTCTGATTTAAAGTAGAAATGTGAATAGAAGAAGTATATATAACGTTAACTGATTTCACATTCCAGCATATAATTAATTCCTCTCCCATTTTAGAATTGAGATTCTAGTCCTTTATTCTTTGCTTCATTCTTCAACAACTTATACATGATCTTACTGTTTTTAAGGGGATAATCTAACAATTTGAATAAAAAATTCTCAAATTAGAGATCTCAATTCAAATCATGTAGTTCAATTTTTCTTCTGATGCAAAGCATTTCTAGGAGCTGGCTGCTTTGTTCTGGTAAGAGTTATGGCTAGAATGGCATCTAAGGCTCGATGCATGTAACTTAGGATATATTTATTTATTTTATATAGATATCTACCATTCTATTGTTTCTGTAAGTATTTAATATCTCTACAAGTGAGCACACAAGAGAAATTGATAAAGATAAACTAGGCCTTTGAACCCAATGATTTGTCTCTAAACCTTATTGCTTAGGTTAAGTTGGTTAGGAGTTCGACTTCCATCGACAACTTGAAAATTTCTCACTTCTTCATGATTTCTCATGTTAAAAAAAAAAAAAAAAGAAAAAAAGAAGAAGAGAGAAATTGATACAAGATGGAACCCAAAAGTGATCATGGTAAACCCATATCTTCCTCAATGCTAAATTTTGAACTTAGTGACTCCATCCGTGTAGTGGAAGGCTACCATGGAAACTAAGATTGGTGATGTTTGATTTAGTAAATTGGTGGAGGCAATTACCCAGCATTGTTGTGAGCTTTAGTAAAGTTAATGCTGCTTGCATGGTGTTTGACAAAATGCCTGGCTGTGAGATTGAGAAAACTTTATATTCTAACCAATTTCCTTATAAGAGATTATTGAAAGTAAAGAGTCCCCATATCACGAATATTACATATCACTAACTCATGACAATTTTTGTCTCGACATGACATGACTTGTATTAAAACAGGTACTGATCACTTCATGGAATAGACTGTTTGCAAGAAAGCTAGGACGAGAAGGATAGCAGCGACAATCTGAGAAACAATGGCCCACGGCTTCGCAAAATAATTGCGGATATAAAAAGCTCGC